AAGAGCGGCAGAGCTTTCTGGCGCTACCTTCGGGAAGCACGGCTTCCAGGAGAGAGCTTCCCAAGCCTCTCAACATCCAGAGAGAACACCACTGCGTTCCAGCTTCATTCTCCCACCCCTGAAGCCTCAGGAAGGCCAGCTTCAAGGAACAGCACCACGATCAGGGTGTGAAAGCAGAATTAACTTCTCAGTCTCACAGCTTTACGCCAAACGGGCAGAGGAACCAAGAAATCAAACCCTTGAAGATAACAAGTCACTTAGTAGGGTTTGTGTTTATGTCAGGTATGAATTACTCCCTTGCTTGGCATTTTGTACACCTTTTAGCCTGCTTATTGCACATTCTTTCAGGTTTTTTTTCCCCAGTATCACCAGTAAAACCCTTTTGGCTGATAAGGGAATTAAAAGCACTGGCAGGAACATCAAGGTGCAGGTTAAGCTGTGGCTGGGAAGGAGCAAACAGTTACACAACAGCCAGGCACAAGCAGCTCGTTCACCAGCAGTGAACACGTTGTGCCAACCTGAGCCCAGACCTGCCATTGGCAGTCGGGACGGAACAAGGACAAGGCAGCCTTGCACTTGTATTTCCACTCCCAAGTTCATCCCAGTCAGTTCCCAGATGTTGACGAGGATTCCTGAGGATCCACTGCTGTATTAAATTACAACAGAAAGTTTCCCCGACACCAGACAAGGTCATTTTGCAGTCGAAGGTGCATCTCCCATTTTGCAGTCGAAGGTGCATCTCCCATTTTGCAGTTAGGCAGCTTCAAACCAAACAGGCGGCCAAATATTTTCACAGCTCTTGGTGGCCAAAGAGAGCAAATGCAAATCAGCCTCTTCACACGGCTAGAGCTTTCACAGCAGGACCAGCACCTTCACAGCAGGTTCTCAGGCTGCCAAACGGGAGGAACCTCAAGTCAAACAGTGCCTTAACTCGTTCTACCCCTCCACAGGTGTCACGGGGTTGTCCATCCATCATGGGGTGGCCAGTTCTGCTTCTTTGGATCCGTTTTTGCACAAAAGAAGAGAGAGGCAACAAGTGCTGGTGTTCAGTGCCTGGTCAGGATACACATCCAAGAGCAGCGATGCCGATTGCGGAGATATTGCCTTGAGTTTTTCTGTCTCGACATCCCCCTCGAGGGGCTGTGACACCAACAGCTGCCCCACACAGCAGGAAAACCGATTCCCAGATAGGGCATGCAGTGCAATTTCAATTTCAATCCATCAGCCTTCAGTTTAGGTTGAAGGGTTACCAGATTAGAGCCCCTCATGACAAAACACTTCCAGGTTGCCAAGTTGAAAGTCCACAAACCAAAGAATTTCAACTTTTAGATTATTCCTAAGCATAAAGCGATTCAATATTCTCTTTTTCTCCCCTCAAGCCTTAAAGAAAAGCTATTGCCAGTTCAGCCTCGAGTCAGAGCAGGCAGTATAAACTCGATTCCACCATCAAAGCCATTTGAGAAACATTAGGAGGGAAGAAGAATAAAGCACATTTTCAGCAGAATCCTCCCAAAACTGGCTCAGACGCCGGAGTTAACACCTTCCACCCAAGCAAATCCCAGGACCTGAAGCACACGATGCCAGCAGGGCTCCCTGCAGCCCACAGACAGACTCCATACTCCATCCGAAACCAGCTGCTTGCAGGAAACATCCTGCCCTTCAGCAGGCAGGTTTCCTTTTGTTATCACCTCTTCTCACAGCTGCCAAAACATCTGCGCCTCTCCTCCAGCTGGCAAGGATTGTCACAGAGATGGCATCACCAACATCCATGTGCTACGGCTTCGCGGGCGCTCAGCACAGCAGCGTTTGTGGTCAGATGTGAAAACGTTAACGTTCTATGGGCTCAGCACCTCCACGCTGGGGGGAACAAAACCTCATTTTTATTTTCCACATTCCCTGTGTGAAGATGCTGTGATTTGAAAGCTTTGGTGTCCTCAGTGATGTTCAACTCAGAATCCCAACAGTGGGAATTTAAAAGAGACTTTTGAACATAACCTCTCTGGCTTTTACCTCTCATCGTCATATTTGCTGTCATTTCCTCCTTAGATTATCTTAAAATAACCTGCTGCTGCAGCAGGGAATGCTGAATTCCTACTACCTGTCATTGGACTGACAAAACAACATCAGATACAATTATGCCATGACAACACAGCCAAGTTGGTTACACAACACTAATTCAAACCATACTGGGTTAACTCCTTCCCTTCTCTTTTCCAAACCCACCCCCCCTGCTTCTGTGGCAGCTTAAAAAAGCAGTGACCCACACTCTCAGAGGTTACTCACCCTATTACTTCTAAGGGACTAGCAGAGGTAGGAAACAGTGACCCACATCCTCCAAACCTCCCTCCTCACCAGCATGCAGAATTGGCTCCTACAGCAGTTGCTAACGGCAGTCAGAGCTACGAGGGCACAGCCGAGCAGTAAGTCACCCCCCCCTCAGGACGTTATTCCCAAAGGAGTTTTTCTTGATGTTCCAGGTCCTCTCCCAGACTCCCTCTCTACTCCTGCGAGAGCCATCCAGACAAGGCACCTCGTTAAACAGTCATTTAGAAACATCTGCCCTCCAGCTCCCTAATCATTTGCTGGGCTCTCCTGCTGGGCTGGCAGCTGCTTACCGATGAGACGGCCAACGTCAGGCACAGTTTCATCTCAATTGCTCAGAAAAAAAGTTTAAAAAAAAGCATTAACGATGCCCATGTCTATTCTGAGACACCTGTACTACATCCTCCCACACAGCCTAAGGCTTTTTCAGGGGCCTCTCTCACTGTGTGCCAACGCTTTTACTCTTACCTTACCCCCCTCGCCCCAGACAAGGTCCACAGTCGTTTGCATTTTACTCTTACTTTCCTAAGCTCCACCATCTCCAGGTCTCACTTCTGTTCTTCGATGCCTGAAACTTCCCTAAACATTCGCAGATGCATGCATCTCCTTTTTCCAACTCGCTGGAGCAGCTGCAAAGGGTTTGCATAAGGAGATCCATACTGGACCTACTCAGTAAACAGCTTTTAACCCGCACCCTTTGTTCCCGGCAATCACGCAGCTCCATTTACTCTGACCCACGGGGGTTAGTGTGGCTGAAGCCTTCAGTACCTTTAGTAAGGGGGGAAAAAAGAAATCAAGTAGGAATTTGAATGCTACTGCAATACAGCTCCAACCTACAGAAAACGGATGCTTCACATTAGAAATGAAGATGAGGAGTGCAAGCGGAGAGAGTCACATGGAATTCTTACGGACCCCGCAGGCAAAGCACCCAGCCTCCGGGATCGCAGGGACCAGACAGGGAGCTAGAAAAGAGCTCAAAAATGGTGAAACATGACACCGTATCTTATGGGTTCAAAAACTACAAAAGTCAGTGCATTACTGGAACATTTCTCACCGCAAAAGGAAAAGCAAACCTTTCCTTTTCGCTCTGATTAACACAGCTACACAGGGATTGTGTTTCATCACAAGAAACCGAGGCTGACCTAAGCACGGATGTCGTAACTCCATGGAAAAACTGTTTCAGAACTCTTAACTTCTCTTTTCCCAAATTAGCAGCAAGGAACCTATCCATCCCACAGCTCTGCTTGCACACCCTAGACATGAGGAGCTGCTAATCTGTCACGAAGCATTCGCTGCTCTTTATGATAGAGCCTCGCCCCGCCTGATCGATGCACGGCCTGCAAGAAATCAGTGAAGTCACAGAACCATGGAATGGTTTGGGTCGGAAGGGACCTAAAAGATCATCCAGTGCCAACCCCCTGCCATGGGCAGGGACACCCTCCACTACACCAGGTTGCCCAAAGCCCCATCCAACCTGGCCTTGAACACTTCCAGGGATGGGGCAGCCACAGCTTCTCTGGGAA